AAAATATCATAAATGCTTTTCATTTCTACAAGGAATTTCTCCACATTAAACAGCAAAAGCTGAGCATAACCAATAAAACCTCCACTTCATACTTTAAGAAATTTTCAGTTAGTTATTTTGGTTTAGTACCATGTCATGCAATATCAATGGGTGGATCTTAGTTTCAAGCCAAGAACATGATCAGGCTTCCTATAATTCTGCTCACTGGCAACTTTAGTTTTTTTTCCCACTATGTGAACAGTAACAAATTTAAGACTACTGTTTCACATTGTTTGTTTGATTTTTTTTGTTCTTCCTGCATTGCATGCAACATCCTTCCTTCCAAACTGCTCTGGCACAGGCTACGTGGACATGTACTGGTTGCACTATTCCTTCTCTAATGGGAAATGCCAACAGTCCAGTATACACTACCTCAATAAAAACTGTTAGATCCTGTAGTTTGGTGCTGTGTCAACTGCATATCAAATAAACACCATTGTTCCATAATCTAGAAGATGCATTGTTGTCCTGCTTCCCCACTCCTTTCAACAAAAGTTGTAATGAATAATAAAAATCCAAGCAAATTCTCACATATATTCCAGTTATAAAAATAAATTCTTGGCATAATAGTGACTGCATGCAATAAATAAAATAGGCTTGGGAGTATTAAGAACTAGGAGCAGCACAGACTAACTGGACACAAAAACTGAAGGATTGGGTGGTCATTTGGTAAATGAAATTTAATGCAAGAGTGAGGTGATACATTTTTCTAGCAAATATCTAGGAGGCAACGTAAAGAGCATGCAAAAATCAGAGGTGTTACAGTAGGTTGAGAAAGTGGCTCAAAAGGCATTTGGGGACGATTTTTAGAAATTCATTCATAGGATATGAAGATTATTAGCTGGGTCAACATTTATTGCCCACTGCTAATTGCCCTTGACAAGGTGGTTGTGAGGTGTCTTGTAACCCTACAGTTCTTGGGGTCTAAATTTCCCCATAGCTCTATTACAAAGAGATTCTACGATTTTGACCCACGAGTGATGGAACAGCAATAGTGAAAAAACAGTATAGTTCCTAGTCTTTGACTTGCTCTTCCAGTTACAACATTTATATGGCTGGTCAATGATAAAAATCAGAATGTTGACTCTGGGGAATTCAGCAAAATATTACTAAAATGTCAAGGGGACATCATTAGATTCATTCATGTGGGAGATTGTCACAAACAGGCCAGGCCTACCTAGATCTTTCAAAAGTGGCTTCGATAGTTGGAGAGAAATAAATTGCATAGTTAAAAGGGCATAAAAGTAAGACTAGTTCAGTTGTTTATGCAGGAAACCATCACAGACACATAGGCTAATTGAAATCCATCATTGCTGCAACAATTCTTAATGAATTACAAAGGAATCATTTGCATACCATCTTTACCTCGACACAAAGTGGTACTTGCTTTGCAGTGATGCAGATTTATTTTGGGCCTGTTGATTTGAGATCCAACTGCAGTAAAAATACAATCTGCTACAGTTCACATCCCAAAGAACACATTCTAAGCAGGGCCAAGAAAAAAATAATGCAACGCAAAACCATATCAAACTGCTTGTCTCTTTTTCCCTTTTCATGATGGGATGTCACTGGGCAAATTCACCATTTGCTCCCCAACCTAATTATCCTTTGGATGGTGTTGTGTTACATTCTTTAACTGACAAAGTTCAGTCTTGCTGTTAGATGGGGAATTCCAGACAGTTTTTTTTTTAATTCACTTGTCTACAAGGCACAAGGCACAAGTCAGGAATGGGACAGAATACTCTTCAATTGCTTAGGAGGCATGAAGCTCCAACAACACTCAAGAAGCTTGACACCGTCCAGGACAAAGCAGCCATAAGCATCTGCTCCCTCCACCAATGACGCTCAGTAGCAGCAGTATGTACTATTCACAAAATGCAGAAATTCACCAAACATCCTTAGACAGAACCTTTCTAACCCACAACCATTTCCAACTAGAAGGACCAAGACAGCAGGAACTCAAGACCACCACCAATTACAAGTTCCTCTGCAAATCACTCACCTTCCTGACTTGGGAATAAATTACTGCACCTTTTTTGTTGCTGGATCAAAATCCTGGAATTCCCTCCCCAAGGGCATTGTGGCTATACCTACAGCATGGGGACTGCTGTGGTTCAAGATGACAGCTCACCACCCCGTTCTCAAGGACAATCAGGGACTGGCAATAAAGGCTGACTAGCCAGCATCACCCACATCCCAGAAAAGAATATATAAAAGAAAAATTACTCATGAGATGCGAACATTGCCATTTGGGCTAGCATTTGTTGCCCTTGAAAACATGGTGATGGTGAACCACTTCTTTGAATTGCTGCAGTCCATGTGCTGTAGGTAGACTCATAAGTTATTTCACAGGAGTATAAAATAAAGTATGATACCAAACCACAGAAGGAGATTGAGGTCAGATGACCAAAAGGATGAGAATGTTTGAATGAAACATTGCTTGACCATACATAAGACCTAGGAGCAGGAGTAGGCCATCTGGCCCCTCGAGCCTGCCCCGCCATTTAATAAGATCATGGCTGATCTCTGAGACTCAGCTCCACTTACCCGCCCGCTCACCATAACCCTTAATTCCTTTACTGTTCAAAAATTTATCTAGCCTTGCCTTAAAAACATTCAGCGAGGTAGCTTCAACCGCTTCACTGGGAAGGGAATTCCACAGATTCACAACCCTTTGGGTGAAGAAGTTCCTCCTGACCTCAGTCCTACATCTGCTTCCCTTTATTTTGAGGCAATGCCCCCTAGTCCTAGTTTCACCTGCTAGCGGAAACAACCTCCCTGCCTCCACCTCATCTATTCCCTTCATAATCTTGTATGTTTCGAAGAGATCTCCCCTCATTCTTCTGAATTCCAATGAGTATAATCCCAGTCTACTCAGTCTCTCCTCATAATCCAACCCTCTCAACTCTGGAATCAACCGAGTGAATCTTCTCTGCACCCCCTCCAGTGCTAGTATATCCCTTCTCAAGTAAGGAGACCAAAACTGCACACAGTACTCCAGGTGTGGCCTCACCAGGACCCTATACAGCTGCAGCATAACTTCCCTGTTTTTAAACTCCATCCCTCTAAGCAATGGCAGACAAAATTCCATTTGCTTTTTTAATTACCTGCTGCACCTGCAATCCTACTTTTAGCGATTCATGCACAAGGACACCCAAGTCTCTCTGCACAGCAGCATGCTGCAATTTTTCACCATTTAAAACATAGTCCATTTTGCTGTTATTCCTACCAAAATGGATGACCTCACACTTATCAACATTGTACTCCATCTGCCAGGCCTTTGTCCACTCACTTTAGACTATCTATATCCCTCTGCAGACTTTGAGTGTCTTCTGCACACTTTGCTCTACCACTCATCTTGGTGTCGTCTGCAAATTTTGACATACCACACTTAGTCCCCAACTCCAAATCATCTATGTAAATTGTAAACAATTGCAGTCTCAACACTGATCCCTGAGGCACACCACTAGCCACTGACCGCCAACCAGAAAAACACCCATTTACCCCTACTCTTTGCTTTATACTGGTCAACCAATCCTCTATCCATGCCAATACATTACCTGTAATACCGTGCAACTTTATCTTATGTAGCAGCCTTTGGTGTGGCACCTTGTCAAATGCCTTCTGGAAATCCAGATACACCACATCCACAGGTTCCCCATTGTCCACCATGCAAGTAATGTCCTCAAAGAATTCCACCAAATTAGTTAAACATGACCTACCCTTCATGAACCCATGCTGGGTATTCCCAATGGGACAAATTATATCCAGATGTCTTGCTATTTCTTCCTTAATGATAGATTCAAGCATTTTCCCCACTACCGAAGTTAAGCTAACTGGCCTAACCTGCTTTTTGTCTACTTCCTTTTTTAAACAAACAGTGACATCACATTGGCTGTTTTGCAATCTGCGGGAACCACCTCAGAGTCCGGTGAATTTTGGCAAATACCCTGGGATGCATTTCATCAGGGCCAGGAGACTTGTCTACCTTTAGCCCCATTAGCTTGCCCAGCACTGCCTCCTTAGTGATGATGACAGTTTCTCGGTCCTCACCTGCTATAACCTTCTTGCCATTAGTTTTCGGCATGTTATTTGTGTCTTCCACAGTAAAGACCAACACGAAATAACTGTTTAATGTCTTGGCTATTTCCTCATACCCAGTTATTAAATTGGTCTTCTCATCCTCTAAAGGACCAATGTTTACCTTCACCACTCTTTTACAATTTACATATTTATAGAAACTTTTGCTGCCTGTTTTTATATTCGGAGCTAGTTTACTCTCATATTCTATCTTACTCTTCTTTATATCTTTTTTTGTGGCTTTCTGTTGGCCTTTAAAGATTTCCCAGTCTACTAGTTTCCCACTACTCTTTGCTTTGTTGTATGTGTTTTTTTTCAATCTGATACTTTCCATTATTTCCTTAGAAATCCATGGCTGGCTCTCTCTTTTCCTACAGTTCTTCCTTATCACTGGAATATACTTCTGCTGAGCACTGTGAAAAATGACCATGACCAAAGAGTATCTCTATGTCAAGGGTCATTATCCACATCCATTTCAAAGCCATCACAACGGTTAAATTGACCATTTCAACAACATACGAGATGTTACAGCACACGTGCAAACACTGGGTGATGGGCATTCAAGTCTCATTCCTAACATGCAATCCAAACAACAAAAAAAGGCATGAAAAGTAAATGTGAAGGTGAGCCATTAATTTAACTGCAGCGAAACATGGAGTGTATTGACAGCCATTTAAACAGTATCGCACTTTATGTAATTTGAATGGTAGGTAACTTGAAAAGAACTGAAGAAAGACGTTAAGTATTTTTTTCCAAAAAAGTGGCAAAAATCTCTTTAATTCTGATATTGAGGAACCTAAATTCTAATTTTAAGTTTCAGCAGTGCCGTTCCCATCATACTTCGCTCGCCCTGCCCAACCCTCAGTCACTCCCCTCCTCACCATCTCGCCTTGCTCAGCCGATTTATAAACGTAGGAAACGATCTCCGTGTGAAGGAGCTGGAAGAGAGCCTCGTCCGCCATCTCCTGCCTGTTCATGTTACAGCCAGTGTCTCCAGGCCGCTCGGCTCTGACTCACGGCCGTTGAGCGCTGGCTCGAGCCCGGTCGGGCCCGGTTCCCATGCCAACTACACGGGAGTGGGGCGGGGGAAACGGGGGTAATGCGTCACTTCCTGATGCCCGGCTCCTCTGCAATTCCCTGAATGACCACAACTGTCGTTCAATGGGTTCACGTCCAGTGACAATGCTTTCCCCGTTCCGTGCAATTAAAGTCAAAATGAAGTTCTGATAATCAACCCGAGACGTCAACTCTTCCTCTCTCTGTACAGATGCAGAGTATTTCAAGCGTTTGCTGTTGTCATGCCAGATTTTACACAGCATTTTGCTTCTGTTTATGTTTTAAAACATTTCCAAACTGTATCTCTTTTATTACTAAGTTGCGCAGCCCAACAGATGAAACGAGTTTCCCGTTACGCATCATAAATATAGTTGCAAAATGGTGAATGTGGTCTTTCCTTCGAAATTTAAGAGTGCCTGGAAAAGACACCGCAACACAAATGGATCACTTGGTGGCGACATTCGACACATAACACGAAAAGTCAACCTGCACCACTGAAAATGCATCCTGCCCGTCCAGGTTCTCTCAGCCCTTTATCAAAAAGTAGTGGAAAAAGCGAGGCCATTCAGTCTATTGTGACTCTACTGGTCATAAAAGCACTATGTAACCAAGCCGCAATTTCCAGTTTCAACGACTCAGATTCCTACATTCAGGCTGAGTAGACAACCCGCTGTCAAGATGTAAAATTCGCTTACACCATCTGTTAATCCTTCTACCAATTTATTATTTTAAATTTATTACCAAGGAAATGGCTCCTTCCTATTAATTCTATCTAGCCACCTCTCCTGTTCTAACGTTGTTAAAGTGAAGGTCACTTAGCTAACTTAGCTGGATGGTTTGCAATACAAAATAACACCAACCGTATGATTTCAACTCCTTCCCCTGGCTGAAGTTACTGTGTAGGTCCCTTCTTGACCATTGCCTCGTCTGAGGCATGGTGACCCCGTGGCTAAATCACCACCAGGCGTCTCTCTCTCTCTAATGAGTGCAATATCAAGCTGACCTTTTTTAAAATCTTTGTTAAATATTCACAGAGATATAATCATAGGAAATATTCCAGGCAAACTGTAGATGATGGTTTTGATGTTGATCTAATCTAGTAATTATACTTAATATAAAACTCCAGTGTTAAGCTAAGTCTCCTCATCCCCAATAGTTGGGTTGTCCAACAGAATTCAGCCCGCCAGGTTGCTGGATGGGGCATTATCCAACCTGGAGACTTAGGGGTCAAAATACAAGAATGGAAGGAGCCTTGCACTTCTCCAATCAGGTGAGCTTATCAGCGCCAAATGTGGAAAAGAAGCAGTCTGCTACTGGGGGAGCATTGACCAGTGTAAAGTGAGTTATTTTTTTTTGGTTTAGCAAACGTACATTCTCTTATAGGGTGCTTGTAGAACAGTGGTAATGTCCCTACCTTTCAGCTAGATGGCCTGGGTTTAAATCCCACCCGCTTATAGAAGTGTGTCATAACACATTCCCCTGGCTAATGTCCTAAAAAAGCGCTATTGTGGCACAATGGTAATTCTAACCCTAAACCATCCTCTTGGCCAGAAGGTCCAGGTTAAAGTCCAACATGCCCTAGATGTGTATCATAACATCTCCGACCAGATTGATTAAAATAACTACATTCACCTACAACAACACCTGCAAGTTCTCCTCCAAGCACTCAGCATACTGACATGGAAATATATCACCGTTTCTTCACTGTCACAGGGTCCAAACCTTGGAATTCCCTCCCAAAGGGCATTGTGGGTCAACCTACAGCACATGGACCGCGGTGGTTCAAGAAGGCAGCTCACCACCACCTTCTCAAGGGAAAGTAGGGCTGGACAGTAAATGCTGTCCCAGCCAGTGAGGCCTATGTCCCAAAAGTGAATTTAAAAAAAGGTAACCTCCTTCCAATTCCCAGTTTTGTACTAAGCTCATGTAAGATCAGTTTGGAGTGTAAGGCAACAAAGGCAAACACAAGGTCAGTGTTAGTTAAACTCAATCCAGTAGCTTGATGGCAGTTTCTACTCCCTTTCCAAGTGATAGAGACTGAGTGTAGCATCAAGGAGCCCCAGCAAAACTGGAATCAATAAGAATTGGGGCAAACTCTACGCTTGTTGGAGTCATAGCTCGCGCAAAGAAAGCTGGTTGTTGTTGTGCAGGTCAGACATCTCAGCTCCAGGACCTGCCTGCAGGAGTTCCTCAGGGTAGCATCCTAGGTCTAATCATTTTCAGTTCCTTCATCAGTGACCTTCCCTCAAATATAAGGTCTGAAGTGGAGATGTTCACCGATGATCACACAATGTTCAGCACCATTCGCTACTGAAGCAGTCCATGTTCAAATGCAACAAGGTTTGGCTAATATCCAGGTTTGGGCTCACAAGTGGCAAATAACATTTGTGCCATACAAATGCCAAGCAATGACCATCTCTAATAAAAGACAATCTAACCACTGCCCCTTGACACTCAATAATGTTACCATTGACCAGAAACTCAACTGGACTCCCCAAATAAATACCGTGGCTCGAAGAGCAGGTCAGGGGCTAGGAATACTGTGGCGAGTAACTCACCTCTCACTCCCCAAAGTCTATCCACCATCCACAAGGCCCAATTCAGGAATGTGATGGAATACTCCCCATTTGCCTAGAGGAGTGTCGTTCCAATAACACTCAAGCTGCTTGACATCATTCAGGACAAAGCAGCCTGCTTAATTGGCACCATATCAAAAAACATCCACTCCCTCCTCTGCCTACAGTCAGTAGCAGCAGCATGTACCATCTACAGGATGCACTGAGGAAATGCACCAAAGATCCTTAAACAACACATTCCAAATTCTTAACCTCTTCCATCTAACAGCAGCAGATACATGGGAGTACCACCACATGCAAGTTTTCCTCCAAGCCTGTCACCATCCAGACTTGGAAGTATATTTTCATCCTGGCTCTGTTGTTGGGTTGCAGATGCTAGTGTTCCCATGTATCTGTGGCCCTTTCTCCTTGTGATAATAGTTGTGTGTTTTGGAAGGTGCTGTCAGAGGAGTCATGGTGAATTTCTGCAGTCCATCTTATAGATGGTACACAATGCTGTTACTATACGTTAGAGGTAGAAGGAGTGAGTGTTAGTGCATGTGGTGCGAATCAAGGGGTCTGCTTTGTCTTGAGTGATGTGGGCGCTGCATTCATCCAGTCAAGTGGATCGTTTTCCATCAATCTTTTCACTCTTGCCTTGTACATTGTGAACACGCTTTAGGGTGTCGAGACGTGTGTTGCTCACGGCAGGGTCGTTAGTTTCTGATCTGCTCTTGTAGCAACAGTACATGGCTAGCCCAGTTGTTTCTGGTCAATAGTAACCTCCAGATTGTTGATAGTGGTGGTAAAGCCATTGAATATGAAGGGGCTGTGCTGCTTGGTAACTTTTGGAGGTAGTTTTTTGTGATTTATCTTGTTAAAAAAATCAAACTCTTCTGACATTGATTTTCTTTGTTATAAATTCGCGCTTAACTTGGAACCACACCTCACTGGCTCCTTACGTGAAAAAAAATTCCTGAGACGTGAGAGGAAGGGTCACCGGACTCGTTACGTCAATTCTGAATTTTGTTGTCATCGCATATGCTGCCAGACCCGCTGAGCTTTTTCAGCAACATCTGTTTTTGTTCCTGAGACGTGAGCCCTGACTCTTAAGCAGCAGTCGGCCAGGATCACTCAGGCACTCCTCAATAGGAGACCACTGATTGGCCACTGCCCTGGCCGGCGGCTATTTGATTGGACGTTGTTCCACAGATCGCTCATCGTTGATTGGCGCGTCAGTCTGTCCATCACTAACGTTAGGCGGGTCATTTGGGGAAGGGGTGGGGCCTGGCCTATTCCCAGAGTGCTGCGCGCACGGCGGCGAGAGAAAAGATGGCGGTGGCGGTGCGAAGTTTACAGGATCAACTGGAGAAAGCGAAGGAAAGTTTGAAGAATGTGGACGAGAACATTCGGAAACTGACTGGCCGGGATCCGAACGACCTCAGGTGACCGCCTTTCAGCCTACGACACCTCAGACTTGGCCATCAGGGGCTCGGGATTCTCCGCTTTATATCCACTGGGCCGCCAGGTGGTCGGGCCCGGGTTTATCCCGCGGCTTCTCCCCGGGAGTGGGGTAGGAGGGATAAGCGTCGGAACGAAACGGGAAGGGAGAGTTGGAGGCCGAACCCCGGGACTTGGCCAAGATTGGCTGCGACGGGATCCCACTCCTTGGTCCGTCTGACCGGCCCTCTCAGGCCCGTGCCTTGTCTCTTGGGCCCTGCCGGCAAGCGGCCCCATGGCCTGCCCAATCGCGGAACTCACCAGCGGAGCAATGCCCCGGAGGGATGGGCGATCAGTCACCTTAAGTGAACGGAAGAAGTGGGAAAGGGCATCAACCCCATTCAATGGCCACGACTCTCAACACATTTTAACGATTGAAACGTGCAGAACGCCCTCCCCCTTGCACCGCTGTGAAATTCTCCCTTCGCTTTTCGCGGTTACTAACAGATTCCCGCGTTTCAGGACCTCACTTTCTTCCCGCCACAGAATCAAGTCACGACATTTAAAAGAATCTTAGTAATTAAGAGGTGGATTCGTAATTAGCCACATTTCGGGGTAGCCACTTGTAAACTAGGGTGTCTCATCATGACCGTTTCCACTTAATTCAATACATGGCGACCAAAGATGAATGTGGACAGTAGGTGGGATTTTCTGCAGAAAGTATCGAGTCACTTCTCCACTGTATACCAAAACACCACTAATAAATTAGTTCTCTTGGTTTTAGTACATTCATTAATGTATTGTTTTATTTTATAATGTCATGAAGTTTTGAGATTTGTAATATATTGCAGAATGATAGCAAGTCAGACTCTGTTTTTGTCCCTCATCAGTCCTAAAATAGGAAGTGGATAACTACTGAATGCAAAATAACAATTTCCTCCCTGCCCCATCCCCATTCCAAAGCTCATATGTGTTCTGAAATAACTCGAGAGCTGAGTCTTGGCTAATTTGACATCACCTCAGTTCTTGATGTATTTCTCACCTTTTGAAGAATTAAGCTATCTTTCTGTGTTAAAGATCTTTTTTAAAATGTTGGATGAATGCTTTTAAAAAGGACACTAATTGTAATTCAATAAAGCCTAGAGTGATGACTGCAGTTTAAAGGCAATAAAGGGCTTAATTGTGGTAGAGTGACCAATGACTGTTCATCCATATTTGCATATGGTGGCAGACTAATTGGGAGGAATGGACAAAATCCACTTGATCAATAACAAAAGCACAAGGATTTCAGTACCAAGTGTATGTTAGGGTTCAGTTTAAATAAATAGTTTAGCTTTTTGCAATGCATTTTAGTAATTTCTTTTTCAAAAATGACTAGGTGGCTTTCTTGCCAGTATTTGGCCTGAGCCATCTGGCTTCTGTAATTTCAATGGGCAGATGTTAAGACACCAAGGTGGATCATAAGGTCTACCAGGTTAACCTCATCCTTTGCGATTATGTTGAGAGGCATTACATTTGAGAATTGTACAGGAGTTTGTGGAGTCGTAATGGAACTGACCAGGCAGGAGTGGGTAGAGATCTTGTTGCATTCCTATTATTAAGAGCAATAGGAATAGCAACAAGAAAGGAGAAAGTAAGTGTATTATGATGTAGTGGTAGAGAAAGCACAAGTGGCGAACTGTATCAAAATCCTTGAGCTCAATAGAAGGAATTCATTGTGGTCATTGGTGACCATAAACAGGATTGTCCCCACTCTGAAGAGATTTGAGTGGTAAGTCAAAGGGAGGCAGACAGTAAGAGGAAGATTTCTTCCATTTATTTCTTTGTTTGCCATTTCATCCTGTTGAATTAAAAGGTGTTTTGCGGTGGATTGTTGCTGGTTTACCGTTATTCTTGTTTAATATGACACTATGCATCACTTACTAAATCCTTATTTCCTAATCAAAAAGGCAAGTGGTGATTTTTGAGCTATACATTCCCTTCTGTGGGTGAAGGTCATAGATGTTAGCTAACAGTTGCAAAAGATGTTCTCACTTTCACAATATTTCTTATAGTTTACTGTACAAAACCTCCTACTTGGGTATATGACTGGCTTTAGTCCTTGTTAATTCAAATTTATTTTTGAATACAGGCCCGGCCAAGCTAGGCGGTTATCCATCACAGGTCCTGGTGGAGGTAGGGGACGTGGGCTTGGATTACTTAGGTAAGATTGAAATTCATAATGTTTCCTTAATACCTTTTACTTTTTCATTTGATGGAATGAAATCTTTTGCTATGTTGTAAATTTAAATTTAAAGGATTTGCATTTATTTTATGTAAATGGCAAAGTAAGATTCAAACTTAGGATGTGATTTTATTACATCTTATTGGCATATGTTTTTAGTTTTAGTTTGTAATTTAACGTGTACTAGGAATTCTGCGAAATTTTGGTTTGTAATTTAGTCAGAGATATACAGCACGGAAACAGACCCTTAGATCCAACTTATCCATGCTGACCAGATATCCTATATAAATCCAGTCCCATTTGCCAGCATTTGGCCCATATCCCTCCAAGCCTTCCTGATCGTATATGCATCCAGATGCCTTTTAAAAGTTGTAATTGGCCCAGCCTCCGCCACTTTCTCTGGCAGCTCATTCCACATATGCACCACCCTCTGCATGGAAAAAGTAGCACCTTTAGGACTCTTTTATATTTTTCTCCTGTCATCTTAAACCTATACTGTCTAGTTTTGGACTCTTCTTTCTTCTGAACCCTGAACCCTTTCAAGTACCATAACATCTTTCCAAAGGAGGGAGAATAGAATTGCACACAATACAAAAGCCACAGCATGACCCCTCAACTCCTATAGTCAATGCACTGACCAATAAAAGCAAGCAAACCAAATGCCTTCCTCACTATCCTATCTACAAGCAACTCCACTTTCAAGGAACTATGAAGCTGCACTCAAGGTCTCTTTGTTTAGTAACACACCCCAGGATCTTGCCATTAAGCGTGTAAGCCCTGCCCTTATTTGCCTTTTCAAAATGCTGTACCGCACATTTTTCTCTTGGCCCACTAGCCCATTTGATTAAGATCCTGATGTACTCTGAGATAACCTTATTTGCTGTCCACTGCACCTCCAATCTTAGTGTCATCTACTAACCATACCCCTTATGTTCACATCCAAATCATTTAATATAAATGACAAAAGGTAGTGGGCCCAGCTTGTGATGCACAGCTAGTCACCGGCCTCCAGTCTGAAAAGCAACCCTCCCCCACCATTCTGTCTTCTACCTTTGAGCCAATTCTGTATCCAAGTAGCTAGTTCTTCCTGTATTCCACACGATCTAACCTTGCTAACCAGTCTACCATGAGGAACCTTGTTGAATGCTTTACTGAAGTTCATATGGATCACATCCACTGCGCTGCCCTCCTCGGTCCTCATCGTTACTGCTTCAGAAAACTCAGTCAGGTTAGTGACAGATGACTTCCCATGCACAGAGCCATGTTGACTATCCCTAATCACTCTATGCCTTTCCAAATACATGTAAATCCTATCCCTCAGGATTCCCTCAACAACTTGCCCACCACTGATGGCAGACTTACCAGTTCCCTGGCTTTTCCTTACCACCTTTCTTTAATAGTGGCACAATGCAAGCCAACCTCCAGTCTTCTGCCACTTCACCTCTGACTATCAATACAAATATCTGAGCAAGGGGGCCCAGCGATCTCTTCCCTCGCTGCCCACGGAGTTCTAGATTACACCGGATTAGATCCTGGGGATTTATTCACCTTTATGCGTTTTAAGATGTTCAGCACCACCTCCTGTGTAATATGGACATTTTAAGATGTCACTATTTATTTTCCCACATTCTTTATCTTCCATATCCTTCTTCACAGTAAACACTGATGCAAAATACCCATTTAGTATTTGCCCATCCTCTGCAGTTCTACACATTGGTGGCCTTGCTGATCTTTGAGGGACCCTACTCCCTCCTACTTTTTGTCCTTAATATATTTGTAGAATCTCTTTAGATTCTCCCCAATCCTATTTGCCAACGCTATTTTATGTCCCCTTTTTGCCCTCCTGATTTCTCTCAAGTATACTTCTACTGCCTTATACTCTAACGATTTGCTCGATCCCTGTTGTCTGTACCTAACATGTTTCCTTTTTCTTGAACAAAACCTCAATTTTTCTAGTCATCCAGCATTCCCTACACCTACCAGCCTTGACCATCACCCTTACGGAAACATCCTGTCTGTAGACTCGTTATCTTATTTTTGAATGCTTCCCATTTTCCAGCCGTCCCTTTACCTGCGAACATTCACCCCCAGTCATTTTTTGAAAGTTCTTGCCTAATATCGTCAAAATTGACCTTTCTCCAATTTAGAATTTTGTCTTGTAGATCCAGTCTTTCCTTTTCCAACACTTTTAAAACTAATAGAATCATGATCACTGGCCCCAAAGCGCACCCCCCACTGACACCTCAATCACCTGCCCTGCCTTATTTCTCAAGAGTAGGTCATGTTTTGCACCACCTCTGGTAGGTTCATCCACATACTGCATAAGAAAATTTTCTTGAATAAACTGAACAAATTCCTCTCCATCCAAGCCCTTAACACTATGGCAGTTCCAGTCTATCTTCGGAAAACTTTAAAATCCCCTACCATAACCATCCTATTATTCTCGGAGAACTGAGACATCCTTACAAATTTGTTTCTCAATTTCCCACTGGCTATTAGATGGTCTATAGTGCAATCCCAATAAGGTGATCATCTTTCTTATATCTGTTCTACCCAAATAACTTCCCCGGACTATTCCCGGGAATATCGTTCATAAGTACACCTTAATAAAAATTGCCGCTCCCCTTTCTATCGTTCCTATAGCATCTATATCCTGGAACATTAAACTGCCAGTCCTGTCCATCCTGACCCATGTCTCTGTAATTGCTGAGATATCCAAGTCCCATGTTCCCAACCATGCTGAGTTCATCTACCTTGCCTGTTAGGCTTCTTGCATTGTCCTTTGCTTTGTTCCTACCTGCCTTGACTGTTTGACTTGCTCCTCCTCCCAACTGTATCAGTCTCGGACCACTCTGTTTCCTCAGTGTCTCCCTGGATCCCACCTGCCACCTGCCCACCTTTACTAGTTTAAATCCTCCCGAGCAGCTCTACCAAATCTCCCCACTGGTATATTAGTCTCCTTCGGATTCGGGTGCAATCCATCCTTCTTACACAGGTCACTTCTATCCCGGATGATCCAAAAATCTGAATCCTTCTCCCCTACACCAGCACCTCAGCCACGCATTCATCTGCTCTATCCTTCTTTTCCTACTGGCAGCAGGAGTAATCCAGGTATTGCTATCCTTGAGGATGTCCGTTTTTAAATTTATGCCTAACTACCTATATTCTCTCCTCCAGAATCTCGTTCTTCTCTTCATGAGTTCCAATGTGTGCAACAACTTTCTACAGGTCCCTCTCGCCTTTGAGTATATTCTGCACCCTCTCCAAGATATCCTTGATCCTGGCACCAGAGAGGCAACACACCACTCTGATGTCTTGCTGTTGGCTGTAGAAACGTTTGTTTGTGCCTCTGAGTAGAGTCCCCTATCACTATCAACCACTTGGAGCCTGGTATACCCCTTGTTACATTAGAGCCAGTCTCAGTACCAGAAACCTTTTCTGGTATTCCTCCATCCCCCCGAGAGTCCGTCCCCCCCCCCCCCCCAAGAAAACCCTACATTTTCCAAAACTGCATACTTGAGATAAGGATGGCCATAGGGCACTCCTGCACTACTTCCTTTCCTCTCCTACCTTTCCTGGAGGTCACCGATCTACCTAACTATCTTCAGTTTATCTCCCTTCCTGCAGTTGCCATCTGCCGCACCCCCTGGCTCCCATAAATTCTTCTTTGCCTCCAACTGCAGTCCCAACCGATCAGCGCAACTAAGCACACTTCCTGCAGACATAATCATTAGTAACATGGAAACTCTCCCTCATCTCCCACATCCGACAGGAAGAGCACATTGCTCTACTAAAGGTCATCTTTGCAACTTAACAATCTACAGACCCAGAAAATAACATTCTTCATGCTGCAAAAACACTGCTGCAGGCCAACTTGGTATGTAAGTTTTACATTTTAATCAAGACAGATCTCAATAAAAATTAAAAAAAAAAAAAGACTATTGCAGATTTACAAAATAAAACTAACCACTTCGCTGTTTCCCTGCCTGTGATTTCCCCCCCTACACAGTTTCTCTAAGGTCAGGTGTGAGTTTCGCTGTTTTATTTTTCTTAGATGAACTCCTATGACCAGAGGAGAGGATTTTTTTAAAAAGTTGCTCCAACTAACTGGACTGTTATTTTCTTGTTTAAATAGACGTGGACTCTCTGACAGCGGAGGAGGTCCCCCAGCTAAACAGAGAGATTTAGATGGGGCACTCAGCAGGTATCTTATCTTTATCATGAAGTCTAATGTCACATTGGAAGAGTTTATTCTTGCAGACAACTGCATAAGCAATACAGTTAAAAACAACTATTTGTTGTACTGACTTGTGTTAGTGTTCTGTATATGTTTAATTTTGAGTATTCTGTCCATAAGTGAAGTAGAGATGCTGAGGTGAATTCTTTCTAAGTAAATTCAAACAAGTGGCCCTGGTATGTACCATATCTATCTTGACAAAAAAAGTAACCTGAATTTCCACAGAAGAATCCTTATGGCATCTTTTCAAAGTGTAAACTTAATTGACCAAAGAATACACACAAATTGGGCAAGTGTTTATTCAGTTACTTTACTCTACTCTTGAGACAAATATGCATCTTTTTAACAATGTTTTCCCGCGTGTTCTCCAATATATTCAGTAACATCATGGAAATGTACAACACAGAAGGAAGCCATCAATCTCTCTCCAGTCCAATTCCAGTTACTGACGCTTAGCCCATAACCTTTCTTTTATTCACTCAAGGGACATGGCCCAAAGGACAGTTGAGTCAACAACGTTGTTGTGGGACTTAAGTCTCATGTAGACCATACCAGTTAAGAATGGTGATCTCCTTCCCTTAAGGATATTGGTGAACCAGATGGGTTTTTCCTGAGAATTGCAGTAGTTTCATGGTAATCATTTCACCATTGATTGCAGATTTTTACATTTTTTTATTCAGCCTCCACCATCTACTGTGATGGGATTCAAACCTGGGCCTCTGAGTTAGTAGTTTAGCGATTAGTACCATTTGGCTATTGCCTCCCTCTAAGCTATTAAAGTACTCATTATGCTTTCTCAATTGTATTTTCTACCTGTCAATCTAACTTCAGGGATCTATCAATGTGCTCATCAAGGCCCCTTTCTTCCTCTAACTAAACCTCACCTTTTTTTGTTCTTTCTTCAGTCATGGCTGTAATAGCAATTTCATTAAGGGAATGTCAAAATTATCTTGGAATTTTGTCATTTTGAACACTTCACACTTCAACCTATTAACTCTTCTAAGTCTGCTTTGACTCACCTTTTGATAAAGTAAAGTCTCTGACTTAATTTGTTGTAGAATTAATATGCAGGAGGAGACAGTTATGTGGTGGTAATATCACTAAATTAGTAGACCGGAATAGGGGAACACTGGTTCAATCCTGCTGTATCAGTTTCAATTAAATAATTGAATTAATAAAAGAAAAACATAAAGCTGTTTTCAGTAATGGTTTTATGAATCTAAAATCAATTGTTAGAAAAACCCATTTGGTTTACGAATGCCCTTTCAGGAAGGATTCTGTGAATCCTACCCATTCTGGCCTCCATATGACTCCAGATCCACAGTAATGTGATTGGAAGTGTCAGAGTCAAAGAAGCCACTTGGTTCAGGTAGTTAATGGACAGCAAATCCTGCTTTTCCACTGAGTCCCGCATCATGTTCCCTTTAAATCCTTTACTCCGAAGGGTTTAATCATCTTCTCTTATAAACATTATGTTCGGGTCTCAACTGTTTATGTGGCAGAGAATTCCACAGGCTGATTTCTCCTCCTCTCGATCCTAATGGCCTGCCCTCATACCCTTAGGTTATAACCCCTGGTTCTGGATTCCCTTGTCATCGGGAACATCCTTCCTGCATTTACCCTGCCTAGTCCTGTTTAAAATTTTACAGGTTTCTATGAAACCTTGCAACATTCTTCTGAACTCTAGTGAAATATAATCCTAACTGATAAAGTGTCTCTCCATTCATCTGTCCTGCCTTTCCAAGAATCAGACTAGTAAGCTTTTGTTGATTTCCCTTCATAGACAGGACATCTTTCCTCAGGTTAGGAGACCAAAACTGTGTGCACTGCTCCAGGCATGGTTTTAAGGCCTTGTACAACTGCAGCAAGATATTCCTGCTCTTGTACTCAAATCCTCTCGCTATGAAAGCTGACATACCATTTGCTTTGTGCACCATCTGCTGCACCTGCATGCTTGCTTCCAGCTGCTGGTGTATGATCTCACCCAAGCCTCTTTTTTTTTTTTTTTTTTTTTTTTCTGCAGTCTATCTCATTAACTTATGCTTCATCTGCAATGTATTTGTCCAAATCAAACTGAAATTATAAACAACAAAAACTTACATATGCTGGTGAGGAAACTATCGAGCTAGAACGCATTTCCTGGGGTCTGAACTGCATTGAAAGTGGCCTAATCTGCGACTACGGTGAAACTCTATAATTGTCAACCCTAATTCCGTTGAAATCTTTTTAACTTGGGTCATTTTCTGTTTTCACTAAAAACCCCCGTGTTGCACTTGTATGTATTTGCATTTTTGTATGGACTTTTTTCAAAAAATCTTTCCACAAACTGATTTCGTTTGATAAGATATATTGTTAGCTTGAACCTTGCTACCTACATTTCTTTTTAAAACTGATACAGGCATCACCAACTTGATCTCACTTATTGCCAATCCATGTTTCCCTTGTACAATAATTCATCTTTCATGAACACTTCAAAGGGCAGTTAAGTCAATTGAAACATTGCAAGATTTGAGGTGTACATAGGCCAGGGCTGCCTAAGGCTTGTGTCCTAAAGACAATCATAAACTAATTGTGGTTTTTTTTTTGTTTTTTTTTAAAAATAGCAGATGACAGATTTCTGGTCACTCTTACTGATACAAACACTTTTTTTGCAGGTTTTAAAATTCCAAACTGCCATAATGGGATTGAACTTGTGGTCTATGAAAAATAAGTTCATGTCTTTGGATGATGTGTGTGGAACTGCAGGAAATGGGGGAGATAATAAAATGAATATTTTGCATCCGTGTTTACTGTGGAGAAGGATATGGAAGCTAGGGAGCTTGGGGAAATAAGTAACAACATATGGAAAAATGTCCGTAATGCAGAGGAGGTGGTGCAGAACATCTTAATGCATAAAGTTGGATAGATCATAGATAGTCATAGAATCCCTACAGTGTGGAAACAGGCCCTTTGGCCCAACAAGTCCACACTGAACCTCGGAGCATCCCACCCAGACCATCCCCTTATAACCCACAATCTACACCGCCCTGAACACTACGGGCAATTTAGCATAGCCAATCCACCTAACCTGCACATCTTTAGACTGTGGGAGGAAACCAGAGCACCCAGAAGAAACCCATGCAGACACCAGGAGAATGTGCAAACTTCACACAGACAGTCGCCCGAGGCTGGAATCAAACCCGGGTCCCTGGCGCTGTGAGGCAGCAGTGCTAACCACTGTGCCGATCCATGGGTCCTGATCAGGTGTACTCCAGAACTTCATGAGAAGCTGGGGAAGTGATTGCTAGGCCCCTTGCTGTGATATTTGTATCATTGATAGCCACTGGTGAGGTGCTGCAAGATTGGAGATTGGCTAACATAGTGCCATTATTTATTAAGGTGATAAGGAAAAACCAAGGAACTATAGACTGGTGAGCCTGACATCCCTGGTGGGCAAGTTGTTGGAGATATCTTGAGGGACAGGATTTGTATATATATTTTCAGAAGCAAGAACTGCTTAGGGATAGTCAACATGGCTTTTCTGTGGGACATTGTGTGTCACCAATTTGGAGTTTTTTTTTTGAAGAAGTAACAGAGGATTGATGAAGGCAGAGTGGTGGACATGATCTGTATGGACTTCAGTAAGGCGTTTGACAATGTTCTGCATGGTAAACTGGTTAGCAAGATTAGATCATGTGAAATACGGAGAATTAGCTATTTGGATGCAGAACTGGCTCAAAGGTAGAAGACTGAAGGTGGTGGTGGAGGGTTGCTTTTCAGACTGGAGACCTGTGACCACAAGGATTGGTGCTGGGTACACTTTTTTTTTCTTATTTTAATGATTTGGATGTGAACTTAAGGGTATGGTTAGTAAGTTTGCAGCTGACACCAAAATTGGTGGTGTAGTGGAAAGCAAAGAAAGTTGCCTCAGTACAGTGGGACCTTGATCAGGTGGGCTGAGGAACAGTAGATGGAGTTTAATTTGGATAAATGAGGTGCTGCCTTTTGGAAAGGCAAATCAGGGCAGGATGTATGCACTTAATAGTAAGGTCCTGGGGAGTGTTGCTGAACAACGAGACCTTGGAGTGCTGGTTCATAGTTCCTTGAAAGTAGAATTGCAGGTAGACAGGCTAGTGAGGAAGGTATTTGGTTTGATTGCCTTTATTGGTCAATGCATTGAATATAGGAGTTGAGAGATCATGTTGCGGCAATTCTGCTCCTTCCTATAGGAAGGATGTTATGGTACTTGAAAGGGTTCAAGGTTCGAGCTATAAGGAGAGGCTGTGAAGGCTAGGGTGAATTTTTTTTTTTTTTCCTGGAGCATCGGAGGCTGAAGGGTGACCTTGTAGAAGTTGATAAATTCATGACGGGCATAGATACGGTGAATAGTCAGGTCTTTTTTTCCGGGGTAGCGGAGTCCAAAACTAGAGGGCATAGGTTTAAGGTGAGAAGGGAAAGATATAAAAGGGACCTAAGGGACAACTTTTTCACGCAGAGGGTGGTGCATATATGGAATGAGATGCCAGAGGAAGTGGTGGAGGCTGGTACAATTACAACATGTAAAAGGCATCTGGATGGTTATACGAATAGGAAGGATTTGGAGGGATGTGGGCCAACTGCTGATAATGGGACTAGATTGATTTGGGACATCTGGTCGGTGTGGACAAGTTGGACCAAAGGATCTGTTTCCATGCTGTTCGGCTGTTTGACTCTATGTACTATATAAGCTTTCTATCTGAAGATTGTTTAGAAGGAAAAACAACCTAATCTAACCATTTTTTAGATTCCCTTTGCCACATTAGCCTAGCTTTCCTCAAGATGCTATTTGACTGGTGCAAATTGACTCACTTAGTCAGTACCCCTTATTCTACCCAGAACTGCTCCTAAAGTTCATGAATCAGCCCTTCTCCAAGCAACTGTAGTCACACTTTTAGTGCCAGAATATGGCTCTTTTATTGGTTAGCATGTGACACTGGTAGTAGTCCTAGGACTAGCTTTTTGATGCCTTGCTTAATCTATTTCACATAATCCTCTGAAACGGAATCCTTTTATCCCTGTCCTCAATGTAATTGGTTTCAATTTGAACTCTGACTGGTGGCCAATCCCAATTCGTTTTGGGGGCTTCTGTGTTTGACCTATTATGTACTTTCCAGATGCCAGGGTAGGGGCCATGCAATTCATGGTTTCTCCCAATTTTATGGCCCGCTGCTGTCTCTCTTCAACAATCCAATTCAGCTACAACAAAGATTTGAGCTTTAAAGCACCACAAAATTAAATTAAAATATAGAGACAACAAGGTGCAGGGCTTTTCTGATGAAGGGTCTAGGCCCAAAACGTCAGCCTCTCTGCTCCTATGATGCTGCTTGGCCTGCTGTGTTCATCCAGCCCTGCACCTTGTTGTCTCGGATTCTCCAGCATCTGCAGTTCCTACTATCTCTGATTCGATCTTAATTAAAATATACTTGATTAATCTCCCCTAAAGCACTGAGGAGCTAATTACAAGATTTTCTGGATTTGAGAGGTTTTATTATTTGATAATCCCTGTTCCCAACCATGCCCTAAGTTCATCTGTCTTATCTGACAGGCCTCTTGCATTGAAGTAAATGCAGTTCAGTTTCAGTCGTAACGCATTCTCTGCCAAGCTCCCATCTGCCTTGACTGTTAAACTTGCTCCCCTTATTTTCTGTACCAGCCTCAGCCTTTTCTGTTTTCTCATTATTGCTTTGCTTCCACCCTTCCCAAACCACCAGTATCAGTATTTTAAGGCTTCCCAAGCAAATTTCTCAGCAAGGATATTGGTCCCTTTCCAATTCAAATTGAACCATCTCTCTCATATAGATCATTTTATAGGCCGTATTTACATCAATAGACATACCACTAGCAAGGGAAACAATGACAGCACTACTGGAGCAAGACCCCAGTGAAACTCTCTCCACAGACAACATGCTCAAACTACTGGACTTTTGCCTCACCACCCACTTCACTTTCAATGGCCAAATATACAAACAAATCAACAGGACACCCACGGGATCACCTATCTCTGGACTCCTAGCAGAGGCAGTGATGCAAAGAGTAGAAAGGATGGCCCTTCCGCTAATCCAACCAAAACTATGGATATGCTACGTGAACAACACCTTTGTCGTCATTAAACGGACCAAACTAGAAGAGAGACAAACTTATAAACAACACCTCCACCAGAATAAAATTCACCAGAGAGGAGGAGGAGGAGGAGGAGAACAAACAGCTCCCATTCCTGGACATCATGGTAGAGCGCAAGACAAAGGGGGAACTCCAAATGAAAATACATAGAAAAGCCACACACACGGACCAGGTACTGAACTTCAACAGTAACCATCCCAACACACACAAACGAAGCTGTGTGCGAACACTATTTAAATGGACAGCAACACACTGCAGCAACACAGAACTACGCCAAGAGGAAGAAGAATACCTCTGCCAGGTTTTCGAGGATAATGTATATCCAAAAAACTGGGTCAGAAGATGTCTACACGAACAACGTCAGGAAGATACCACACACCCTAACACACTCATCACACTACTCTACATCAGGAATGCATCAGAACTAACCACAAAACTCCTACAACCGCTGGGCATCAGAGCGGCACACAAGCCCCCATCAACCCTACGACAACTGCTCACCCGAACTAAAGACCCACTCCCCGCCATGGACAGGACCAATGTTATCTATATGATCCCCTGCAGAGACTGAGAAACACTACATCAGACAAACAGGAAGGAAACTAACAACAAGGGTACACGAACACCAACTGGCTACAAAAATACTCACCCATCTCCATCCACATGGAGAAGGAGAACCACCAATTTGACTGGGACAAGCTAAGCAGAGACAGGCACGGGAATTTCTAGAAGCCTGGGCACTCCACGAAGAAAGCCATTAATAAACACATAGAACTCGACCCCATATACACTCCACTACGAAGAAAAACCGGAAGTGAGGCAATCCAGCTCAATGGACTCCAGAGTCTAAAAACCAGGCGGGAAAACACACCGACACTTCATCGGAGGCTACACTGAGGATGTTACCCAGCATGGTAACGAAACGTCTGCGGAACATCAAACCAGCTCGGCGAGCCAACCGCAACAGGCCACTTCTACCCCTGAAGAGACCCAAATAGTACAAAAATGTGAAACTTGCCCCGCCACCCCCTCCAACTATGCATTCATCTACTGTAACCTCCTTGGTTTGAACAGATCTAAAAGCAGAGCTTTTTTTTCTCCCCGAAGGGCCAAACTCAGCATGTCTACAGGCCCTTTGGAAAAATATCTTCGCTTTTTTTTAGGTCTGTTCAAGTTAAGCCAAGCTATTTTTCAGAGTCTGAACAGATTACTGTAGATCCAAAAATGTCTTTTATCCAAATACCAGTTCATCCTGAAGTTTTTGGATGAGGGATTCCTGACGTGTACAGTATTCCTCAATATTCCATTTCCAAATTCAGTATTCCCACACTTAACGTTATTCTCTCTGTCAACCACATCCAAGGTGAGAAGTTACTCCACAGCACCACAAAATACTTGGAATGTGATTTGCCATTCCTGCTTCAGCACTGTTTTAACAGCTAGCCCAAAACCCAGAGTCTGAACCAATTATTGCAGCATTTCTCATTGCCTGCATCTGTGCCCTAGGAATATCTTTGATCACCTTCTGAAATGAATTAACATTTCAGCAAGTTTTCAGAACACCCATATGCAAGTGCTGCATGATAGATCTTCTCCACACTGCCATAATAAATAAACGTGTAACTACCTTCAGCTAACCAAGTTCAATACACGAATGTTAAATTTATATTTTTAATTAGCTGATTTTCTTATTTGTATAGTCTCCTGAATTTCTCTGCTGTGTAATCAGCATGCAGTCTTGCATCTGATCTTACCAAATCATCCCCACCATGCCCATATCACACTTCTGATCACACAGAATCAGCAATAAGATTTGTGTTGTTTCCAAAAGAACAACGAAGCATCACTGGAAATGTGGAAGCATTCGACAAGAGTCTGACCCTTTTTCCTCCGCAAGAGAAGAAAATAAAAAGAATTATTTCATACCACTGTGTACCTCCTGATGATCAGATCAATTCTTGGGAGAGCTGTGGGTACTGCGTATCTGTAGTCTGAATATAGTAGATATTATGTCAACAAAAATCAGAAAATTGGAAGTTTGAAGTTTAAATTTTAGTCCAAAATTCCTTATGGACAAAAAATGCACTCACTAGAAGTGATTAATGTTTTTGCATGCAAGATAAGTGCTTTAATAAATTATATTTCAAAAATCCAGTTGGTGCTGTCTTTTACTAGGCTGGGAGATCGTCGATCTAGGAGAGAGTCACGTCAAGACAGCGACGCAGAGGATGATGAAGATACAAAAAAGGTATTTCTTAATTACAAAATAAAAGCTCTGCTCAATCCTGATTCAGTTGATAGATAAGTGTACCTCTTTATTCATTCATTGAATGTGGAATGTGGCCAGGATTTATTTCTCATGCCTCCTCTCCTGGAGGAGATGTGGTGAGTTGGCTTCTTGAATCACTGCAGTTCCTCAGGGCATGGGATACCCGCAGTGCTGCTGGGGAGTTCCAAGTCGCTGACCTGGACTGGAACTTGCAATAGTAATGTTCCAATGCATCAGCTGCCCTTATCCTTCTAGTTCAAAGTTTTCTGAATCATTACCCACTATAACCTTATTTCATGTTTCTTAAATGATCAAGCTCTTCTTGGTGAGAATGAACGTCTGGTGTTGTGGAAAATTGGGGCAGAGCACTGGCAGCTGTAGCTGCCTTAAAAGCTCAGTATAACAGCTAATACAGCCCTGTAAACGCTGCAGATGAATGACCTACATCTGTGGGTTTCTCAAAATTGAGAGAACTGTACTGCAGATTAGTTGAGCAATATCCTAACACTAACATTGTGACATATGATTCCATGAGTACAACTAAGATATCATTACCATCCCAAGGTAAATCTTGTCCTATGGGTAGGATGCCAATCAATTGAGTTTCTTTCTCCTGAATCGTGTTGTGCTGCTTGAATATTGTTGGAACTGCACCTGTCCACTTGAGTGGAGAAAACTTCGCTTGTAGTTCATGAACTTTGGAATTTTATAAAGAACAAAATCCTAGACACACATTGGCTCAACCACAAATTTGCTTATTAAATAAATCTCTGACATGAAACCTTGGATAGTCTAAATGACACCATCTTGATCTGGTTCACCCTATTTTAAATCCCTCACTTAAAATCTCATGTTTCCAGCCTGAACCTTACTTAATTTGGTGATGGTTATACAGTTGAATGTAAAGGGGTGATGTCTAGGTTCTGTCTTTTCGAAGATGGTCTTTGACCAGCACTTGTGTACCCTAACTGTTTTTGGGGTTGGGGTAGTGAGGATGGTCTTTCACGTCTATGGAACTGGACATACCCAGGGATATTGTTGTTGATCTCTTAGATATTGCAATAATTATGGAATCATATCGTAGACAGTGTCAGGCTATTTCTTAATTAGACTGCAGTGCATGTCTTTGTTTTTGACGCTACCCCACAAATGTAGATAAGGAGGATTTTGCAGGTTTGCTGTTGTGGTGAGCTCTAAGGTAAAAATGATACCCTGTTCCAATTTCCCTCCCACACTCTCAGGCCATCTTCTCACTATCCTCCTCTATCAGTTCTCACTGAGGGAGTCATGAATCGGGCTATTCCCAGATCTTTATGGCATTCAATGCAAAGATGACAATATTGACTCCAAAGTTGCCTTTGTAGGGTTGGGCTAGATGAGCTTTTGCAAGCAAGTAGATTTTAGCTATCAATGAAGAAATCTATTGGAAAAATACCAAAGAACAATGGATGCTGAAATTCTGAAACACAAAATGAAGTTACTGAAGAAACTCTGGTCCAGCAGCATCTGTGGTTAGAAAGAAGACTTTACATATTGGTTCTAGTGACTCTTAAAAACTGATTCTACAATCAGATCTGAAGAACTCTTAGGTTCCACTAAAATGTCAACATTATTGAATAGGCTACTGGCAATCAAAGAATGAGCACTTGGAGGTACTGTTACAGAGAATTTTCTCCAGTGAATTGGCTTTTCCCATTAGAGGGTAGTGACAAACTTTTGCTGAAATGAAATTAATAATTTCACTTTGTTCTTCATAGCCAGCGTTGCAGTCTTCTGTTGTTGCTACCTCCAAAGAAAGAACACGCCGAGACCTTATTCAGGATCAAACGATGGACGAAAAAGGCAAAGAAAGGTAGCTCAACTCCACAGACAGTATAGTGCACAGTATTAACTTCTTTGAACGTGTTATGAAAAAGACTTTGAAAATTTTCTATATGATACTTCACCTCTGCTTCAATTAATGTATAAAGTATGTACAAGGAGGATAAATAACACTTCACTCCTGGGCAAGTGTAATTTTAGAAGGTTCACTATTTCAAATCAGCATTGGTGTAAACTAAAACTGCAGACTGTACATAATCTGATTTTTATTTTTGTGTGTAATAGTAACCAAGCAGTTTTACTTGGCTGTGGACATGGAATTCAAAGCTGAACTGAAAAGGGTTTGAACAATTAAGTTGTTAACACACTTTGTTTTCTAAGAATGTCTATTTACTGTTAACTCAGTGTTGTTCATCAGAAGTCCTGCTAGAGGAGTATTTAATGGTAAAAACTCTACAACCCCAGGAATAAATTGTAATCTCAGCATGTTTGAATTTATTTTGCAGTATACTCTTGATAAACAAGTTTTTGGTCCAATTCCAAGACAACAAGTACAAAGTATCTAATTGCTGTCTTTTACTTAATAGGAATCGGCGGATGTTTGGCCTGTTGATGGGTACTCTGCAAAAATTCAAACAGGAATCTAATGTTGCAACTGAGAGGGTATATTTTTCTCTTTTATATTTGCTCTTCAGTTTCTGGATCTTGCATCGAGAATTTGGTCCTGATTATTGCAGTACAATAATGGAGTCTGAAAATACTTCTTCAAATCAAATTTGTGTGCAACAGATGTCATTATGAATGCATTTCTACCACACAAATGCATGTACACAGTCTTTATAACTTTTAAATTATGGCAAACTAGAATATGTCACATACATTTTGTTCTAATCCCATGCAGCTTTCTGACTCCAGGCAGAAGAAAACTGTGATTTATTGTATTTGCTGTGAGTTGGTGAGGACCATGAGCATTGGATCTGGACCACTTCAGAATGACATGGTGTATGAGTTAAATGCAAAATTAATGCAGAGCACCGATTTCCACGCTCACCTTTTACAGTAATTTTAAACTGAAATGCTGAGCCACAGTTTTAATTGGAATCAGAGGTGTAGTGTGCATATTTTAACTATGTCTGAGTGGCTCTAAATGATGCTATGTGAATACTAATTTGGGTTTTGCCAGTCAGGAAGTATTCCTTGTAGGGGGAGATTTAATGACAAATAATGATTCAGATCCTAAAAACTCTTGCAAAGTATTCTCACTTGGTAAAACAGCCAGCCTGCTAGCTAATCATTGTATCACTCAGTGATGAATTTGAACACAGCCCAAGTGTGAAAGGACAGAGTGCTGACATACTGTTTTCTGGTCCCCTAAATCCATTCATAAAACATTTGTCTTCAGTTTCTGTCTGAATTGTACTAATGATTTCAGGGGTATTTCTCAACCATTCAAACAAACTTAAATATTTGATAGTGTGCTGAATAAATGTCATGCCAAAAAAATGTTCCTTTGTCCAGTGGTGACTCTTGGGCTCACTTTAAGCACCTCAATTAGTGTATTGTTTCTTAGTTTGCAGCTCGTTGTCCAAGACGACATGTAAGTTTACTTAAAATTGTTCTGTACAGCTCTATAATCCATAACTTCGTTCCATTGGTTATCTCTGCAGATTTTGGTTGATTCTTCAGCAATTCTATTGATTGAAATTTTGTGATTCTACAGTATTAAAAAAAAATCTGTGCTGTTTAGATTCAGTTCAAGTTGTGTGCCATCACATTGAACCTATAGGCTTTATCAAAGAATGTTATTAGCTATGAAATATATGTATACACGCAACGCAATGCTAGTATGTTGAATAAGTTATCGGCGTACATAAGGACTGATGCAACTGAAAGATTGGCCTCTGATGCCTTTTCAATAATGTCTGTCTAGGAATGACAGGCCATACTTGACTCTACGTTTAAGTAGAATGTACAATCTTAACGATGCAGTCAAATGTGGTGATTTTCATGGTTATTACTTGTATTTGAGATGTTAACCTGTGCAGTATTTAGGAGTTGTTTTCTGTTATTATCAGTGTGATTTGAGAGGAAGCTGGTTATGAAGTTCTGGGGCTGGTATGAAATGACTATCCTGAATTAAATTTTTTTTTTTGATGTGGAGGTGCTGTCGTTGGACTGGGGTGGGCAGAGTCAGTCATGCAACACCAGATTATAGTCCTTCATCAGGTGGAGCAGCGCTCCAAAAGTTTGATTTTAAATAAACCTGTTGGACTGTAATCTGGTATCATGTAATTTGTCGTTTTATACTTTGATGTGAGCAGAGTAGAACAGAGCTTGAAAGTTCGAGTTTTAATACTTTTTTCCCCACTTACCAACAGCAAAAAAGGCGTCAGGAAATAGAGCAGAAACTTGAAGTGCAAGCTGAAGAAGAACGTAAACAAGTAGAAAATGAGAGGAGAGAATTATTTGAGGAACGTCGTGCTAAACAAACTGAGCTAAGACTTCTAGAACAAAAAGTGGAACTGGCCCAGTTGGTAGGAATTTATGTTGCCTGCATAGGAAATTTGTGAATTTTGCATTCGCTTGATCTTTAATGTTTCTTCCTTTTTCAAACAGCAAGATGTATGGAATGAACATAATTTAAAAATAATCAAATACATCAGAACCAAGACAAAGCCTCATTTATTTTATATACCTGGCAAACATTGTGCAGCTACTCAAAAGCTTTTGGATGAATCACAAAGGAAGATGAATGGTAAGTGTTTTTGCAGTAGAATTACAGACAATGCCTTATCTCAAGCCAAAGAGTTTAAATCATGTAATTTCAGAAATGTAGCTTGCTAAACAAAATAAAACTGAGTTATGGTAATCATTTTTCCAGTATGTCACTAATTCATGTATAGACATTGGTCATTCTGCAAGTCCTATGTACAGTTGTTCTAAAGAAAGGTTAACAAGTGGAGGATATGGATTACTGTGAGTTATCAAGATGCAAGGCCAAGTGTGACCCAAGTCCAGACACCTTTTTGAAAATGTTCCAATGCAGATGGTGAGTGTGAGTTGAAAATGTAACATGGTGGGTATAAGATGACATTTGCAGTTCAGAAGAAGTAAAAGGATAACTATCTATTGATTAATAATTAGAGAATGGTTAGTTGTGTTTGAAAGGGAGAAGGGAGCTTTTTGATGCCTAGATGAAAGGGATTATCTTGAGGTGAAATTTTTTTGTCCCCATTTGGAATGTGGTGGTAGGGCTGCCAAAATATTGGAACAGTATAAAGTCTAGACAGATGTGGGTCTTGGACAGTTTCATTACAAAGGTACTATGTCTTTGTGTAAAAAATCTTTGTTAAAGTCTGAATCAAGTTTGAGGGCAGCAAGTCTGAAGGGCAATTTAATGGTATTTATCTTGTGCTTCAGAATCTCAAGTTGGATTCTTGGTAGCTCAGCAGTTGGTTTTAGATCATGTTTGTGATTTTTAAAATAGTCTGTGTTTAGAAATTGTCTTAATAGAAAACAGCCTGATTAAAAATCATGTATCTTAATCAAATGAGATTGAAATGGAGTGTGAGGAGAACGGATTGCAGAGAAAAATGCAAGTTAAATGTCTGGACAATGGGTATTAAGTATAATATGAGGGGAGCTGAGATCGCTCCCATTGTTGAGAATGCAGAGCTAGAATATACTTCACAGGCATGTATCCATATCTACAAGAAAGAGCATGCAAGTACAGTGAACCACTTGGAAGCAAATTGGCATTATGATTTTTTTTACTGGAAGGAATATCTAAAGAAAGATGTACTATCTGCAAGCAAGTATATATCAAATGTAGAATGAGAAGATTGTCTTCTGCTGAGGGGCTGAGTTAACTGGGTCTGTTCTGAAATTTAGAAAAAAGTGTATCTTATTGAAATATTTACGATGCTGAAGGAACTCTCTGACATCGACACGGAGGTTGTTTCCGCTGGCTGGGTAATCCGGAACTAGGGACGCAACCTTTGGCCAAGAAATCAGTCCTTTAAGACTGAGCTGAGGGAATGGTTAACTTTTGGATTTCTCTACCACTAGAAGGTTATGAGGTCTCCATTGTTGAGTATATTCAAGACTGAGTTGATCAGATTTTTGATCTCTGAATTAAAGGATATAGCTAAGTGGCAAGAAAATGGACTTGAGTTAAACGTGTACCATGTTTACTTTAAATAGTGGATCATGGTTGAACAGCTGATTGGTCTACTTCTATTCCCATTTCTTGTGCTGTTGTGAATCAGCAACTACTTCAGTCAGTCTAACTTTCAAGTACTAATCTTAAAAAAAAAAAAAAAAAAGATTCTGGCAGTTCTTTTTTTAATAAATTGGGTCAGCTTTGTTCTCTTTGAATAAGTTTAGCAATGAATGATTATGATACTGAATAAAAATCAGTTGAATTGTGATTGGACTCACTGGCCAATGCTTGAACTTTTTTGCACCAGAAGGCCACTTATAACAAAATGTCTGACTGAGACATTGGACCAAACCAATGTTTTTTTTTTTAAAGATAAAAATAGTACGAGGCTCACTTTACCAGATGAATTTCAAGTAGCTTTACTTTGGGTTACTAAAACTGAGCTATTTCAATGTGTATGCACGCATCCTATTCTCATTCTGTGCAATCAAATACACTTTACACTCACCCAACATTCCTAGGTAATCGCACAAGTTTCCCTTTAAAGGGTCCAACAGACATCACACACCCAGCCCCCTCTGCCACCAAAAGAGAAAACACTAGCAAATTACATTCTATAAATCAAAATGTCTTTGTTGTGTTTCAAGGGGTTGCACTAAATGTCTACCATATAGTCTTCATGGTAATTTCCAGAGGTGACTAATTCAGTTGAGCAAATTCCTGGCATCTAATCAGTCTTTCAGAAGTGTTGCATCATGACCAGAGGTTCATTTAAACAGAAATCGTATACTCGTATAAAATCTAGGCAGTAATTTAGAGCACTCTTTAATGCATGTGGTTTTAGAAGGAACATCAGTCATAATGTATAATGCTCATACAGGGGATTGATTTCAGGAGTGATACCTTAGTTTTAAGGAGAAACCTGAGGTAAAAGAACTTTTTCACCCTGAACACATAAAGCTAAGAGGACATTTGATAGTCTAAAATACTAAAATGTTTTGCTGGTGAACAGGAAAACTCTTGCATGAATCGGTCACATTGGGATAACAATTTGAAAGTTTTCAGAGTGCTTTTGAAACCTGAAGATCTCCTACAAGGAAAGTGTAATTAAGTAGTGAAATGCAGAATCCTATATATGCAATGCAAGACCCCACAATTAGTAATTAAGATAAATGATTAGAAAATTAGAAAATCTCGTGGTGACAGTTGAGAGAAAACTGTTGGCCATATCATTTTGAAAAATACCCAAAATGTTTTACCCCTACCTGAGAGACTGGCAAGACTTCAATTAAAAGGTGATATCTTAACTTTGGAACACTCGCTGCTGCATTGAAGATGCACTTCACTTGACAAAGGGACAATGCTCCGAGCACTTATGATTTCAGATAAATCTGTTGGACTGTAACCTGGTGTTGTCTGACTTCTGACCTTGTCCACACCAGGCACTATTGGCATTGAAGAGTAGGCATTGAGTGTTTCGGTTTTATGGAGTGGCACTTGTTGCTTGAAGTGATAATGAACCCAAAATATTAAAGTTATCTAGAGGCTTGTTTAAAGCATGGGATGTAGTTGAAGATGCAGGTATTGGATTTGAGTTTTGATGTTCGTGCATAGCGTGGCCCTAACAGTGATCTGAACATCAGCTGTTAACTTTGTTCTATTAGAGTTTTCTTTCTGGTCACTATTGAACACTCCTTTAACTGTTACTGTTAGATTTTATAAGCACTTTAGGAACAGTTAGTTTTGGGTAATCCTTGTTCAAATAACTTGAAGCATACACTGTTTAACTGTTTATTTCTGTGTAAACATGATCTAAAAATTAATTGTTTCAG